AATGACGCATTAAACATTTTAATTGACGCAATACTTGTGAACCTATCGTGATTTTAAAAAAGTTCATTTTTTTTGCATACCACTATATATATTTATAAAATTTAGATATTATATTAAATAATGTATTAAATATTAAGATTAACTAAAAAAAATAAAAAATAACTAATTAAAAGTTATAGAATAAAAAATAATATTTAAAACTTTTTTAAAAAACATTTATATAGATTTAAAAAAGCTATTTATATATTTTTATGATATAAAATTCTATTCTTAAATATTTGAAATACTGAAATATAAATAAATATAATCTTTTTTCTTTAAAAATTCTTATTAGATTTATAATGTTTTATTTATTAATCTATAAAATAACTAATAGCATTGAAATTAAACTATAAAGTAAACAAATTTTTTTGTTATCTTAAAAAAAGTGTTCTATAGTTTTTGAAATTTTCTTCTATTATTTAAAATCATAAAATAATCTGTAATATTATTAATAGATTATTAAAATTAATTATATAATTACACCAATTTTATATTTTTTTTAAAACTTATATTTATTATAAACTTTATATTCATATAATTTTTTTAAATATAAAAAAATTATTATAAAATATTTAGTTTTTAACAATTATATTAATTATATATTGTTTTATAAAATTATAATAGTACATTTATTTTATACAAAATGACTATATTAAAAGTTTTATTGATTAATTCTAAAGTTAAATTAGTATTTAAAATAGCATTAATAAATTCTAAAAATTCAAAATAAAATAAAATTTATTTTAAAATCAAAGATTAAATTATTATTATAAGAATAATTTAAAAGTTTATAATTTGTTAATTTATAATTATTTAATTTCAAAACTTAAAAAAAAAATTTGATATTTAATTCATAATATTAATTTTTATGTAATCTTGAACCTTTTTCTTAGAAAATAAAGAGAGAAAATATTTCTATAAAATAAAATTAAAACAAACTTTTATATGATTCATTTTAAGTATATATCTAAAAAAAAAAAAAAACAAAATAACAGAAAAAATAAAAAAAGATTTAATTTTTTATATTATATACAAAGTTAAGATTTCAGATCTTTAATAGGTTCCTTAAATGTAAGATATGTGTAATATATTTGATATACCAAATAATTCAACAGCTACTATCTTACCTTTATGGTCATAAGATAATAGAATGTCATTGTTGATTTCGTCAGAGATAACTACAAGACCTTCAGAAATTCTTAACATATCAATTTGCAGATTATTCGTATCATTAAAATAATCAAAGTTTAATTCAAGCCTTAAGCATAAAAAAAAGAAATGTTAAAGTTCAAAAAAATGTCTTGAAAATTTAAAATGTTTTAATATATATAGTTGACTTGATGATGAAAAAATTATAAATAATTGTGTAGTTACTCCAAATGCAATAGTAATAAAAAATATCAATTAAGATTATTCAAGACAAATTTTATTGATCCAATTAGTTTATACATAATGTAGTTCGAAAAATAAAAACAAGAATAAGAAAGAGACGCTAAAAAAATGTGAGTGATTTATTGATCAGTATAAATAGTTTAAACCTGAAGATTATAAATTTTTAACTCGTATTATTTATAAAAAAGAAATTTTTCAACAAAAAAAAAAATATTCAAAATTCCAAATATTTTTTTTAAAAAAAAAAAAATTACTAAAATAAAATTTGTTCAAATACAAAAATAATATTTCAATTGTATTCACAATATGAAAGGTTTGTATTAATTGTATATGAATTGATATACCCTAATTTTTACAATAACCTTTTTTTTAAAGTGCAGATGGACGAACCTTTGAGTCACGTAATTTGGTCGCAAGTCCTAGAAGAGACATATCTTAAGTTTCAATGGTCTGAAGAGGTCAAAAAACATACCTACGTTGATAGAAAAGTTGAGCCAAGTGTTATTGAAGAAGCAATCCAATCTTATATGAATGGCGATAATAACACACAAAGGTGTAGAGCAAGATATCGCGGGAGAATCATAATTCAGAAGGATTTAGGTGATAATAAACTTGTTCGGGTGGTAGTAGCGACTAATCCGAACCCGTGGGTAATAATTACTTACATAATTACATCCACACAAAGGTATTGGGGAAGGGATGTTTTTTAATAGTTTCTATTGTAGACACAACAATTAAGAAATACATACATGTTTATTTATATTTATTTTAATTTTATAATATTGTTCTAATTTATCAACTTATCCAATTTACTATGTGAAAATGTAATTTGAATTGAAAGTTATGACTTTTTTCGCGTTGAAATTGAAACAATTATGCACAGATTCTGCTTTGTAATTTCGACATATAACTTCTTGTGCCATGTAATAAAAAAGCTTCAAGTTCTTTATGAGTATTATACTGGATAATGGTGTTAACATATTGGCTTTTTATTATCTTCTTTATTTGTTAAAGTTTTTTATTTTTCATCAGTAGGAAACAAAGACATTGATAAAAAGAGGGGAAGTAAAAAAAAAAAAAAGCATGTAAAATCCATCAGTTTATACGTCATACACAATAGGTGCAAGTATTTATTCATCTCTAATAACGATTCCGCCAAAAAATCTCAGTCACGTGATATTTTGTGGCGCACCAACTTCCCCAGCGTAACCATCAGCTTCTATGTTTTTTGGCCTCTTCAGACCATTGAAATTTAAGATATGTCCTTTCTAGGACTAGCGATCAAATTACGTGATTCAAATCTGCGCTTTTAAAAAAAAGGATAGTGTGAAAATTAGGGTTATAATATGCAATCAACAACCTTTTTGATTTTTTAATGAGTTAAATTTATAAAAAACCAGTAATTACGTAATTCACATGATCTTCATAGCTTCACGTGGATATATATTTAAATTGATCAATTAATCACTCATATTTTTAGCGATAAACTTGATCTCATTCTTGTTTATTACTTATACTTGTTTTTCCCCACACTTTATCGTTAGTTATGTATGAATTAATTGAATTAATTGAATTTGTCTTGGGGATTTGTATAATGATCTTTATCGATTTTTGTTGTTGCTGTTGCATTTGGAGTAACTATCGCAATTTTCAATTTTTAAATTTCATCATCAAATCAACTGTATATACTAAAACATTTTAAATTTTCAGGACCATTTTTTCGAACTTTATTCGGGAAGGGGAAGAAATTCAAAAATACACAATGGTGCGTTTTATTATTTAGAAAAGTATTTAAATGTTGTTTTAATATAACATTTCTTTTTTTTCCACGCTTAAGGCCAGACGTAAACTTCGAATATTATAATGATACGGATAATCTGCAAATTTATATGTTAAGAATTTCTGAAGGTCTTTATGATATCTCTGACGAAATCAATGATGACCTTCTATTATCTTATGACCATGAAGGCAAGATAGTAGCTGTTGAAATATATGAAGTATCAAAGTTATTACATGCATCCTTCGTTCAAGGAAAGCCACACTTTGTGATTAATCACATCTATCATGAAGATTCTAATATTTTGAGGTTTAATTTCGTTAAAAGTACTCCAATCATGGTAAATTTCAAGAAAACCGAGGTGGAGGATATTGAGGTGGGAATTGATAACGCTGGAAAGCTTGTTAGTTTACTCTTTTATAATGCTAGTAGTAAAGTATTGAAGACGTTATCAGAAGAAGAGAGAATAGAAAGAGCAAGACGTTCGAAAGAGATAGAGAAAGCGAGAGAAAAATGGGCTAAGGAAAGGGAAACGGAAACGAAAATGAAAGAAGTTTAAAAAGAAAGTATCATTTTGCTTTTAACATCAAATTTGTTTAAAGTGATATATTTGCATAATATAATTAATGGTTATCGAACTATATTAAACAAATTTTTCCGTTAAAAGATCCGAAGTCTTAAAATAAAAAAATTATTTTTACTATTTTTTTTTTTTTTTTTTTTTTTTTGATATACACTTTAAAATAAGTTATATAAAAGTTTGTTTTATTTTTAGAAATGTTTTTCTAAGGAAAGTTTTGTAAGGTTTCATTCAAAAAAAAAAAAAAGTTTTTATTCAATATGATACAAATATAAATTCTAATATTATTATATTTTTATGCAAAAGCAATTTTCTTATCTTAATAATTAAGATTAATATTATTATAAGAAATTAATATAAATAGTCTTTAATAAGTTATTTAATTTTATATACTTTGATAATTTAATTAATATAATTTTTAATAATAGATAAATATTCTAAATATTAATCATTCTTCCTTTTTTTAATTGACATGTAATATAATTATGTTCACTTTATTGCATAATTTACATTTGCAAGCTTTGTTAATATTATTAGAAGTTGCTAAAATTTCTTTAAATCTAGCAGTATCTGATGGTCTTCCTTTAGACACTTAATTATAAAATTTTAAATTTAATCTGCATTTTTTTGATTAACTATATTATTGTACTGGATTTACTCAGGTTATTCTAAATTTAATACTTTCCAGCTCTTTTTGCTAATATAGTTTTCAAGTAAAATTACAAAAGACTCATCACAATTTTTGCAAGCAATCTGATTTGTTTACTTAACTAATTCCTATATATGAACATAATATTAGTACTATTTACTAAGAGAAATATATTGATTACTATTCAAATTCAAACCATTATTTCTAAATTAAAAATTCTGCTAGAATGGTATTAATGTTTAATGAAATTTCTAGATTATTTTTGAATTTTATAGTACAATAAAATGGTTGGTTTTTAAGATCCAGTTGATTTGAAACAAACTAATATTGATTAAAAAATCTAACATAAAATCTTGCTTAAAAAGTTTGTAATATTATACTAAAGTAATGTTTATAGATAATTTTATGATTTACTAATAATATATAGAGTTTTGAAAATAACTCACATAAACTTACATATTTGACTTGCATAATTGATTATGCATAATTGTAAATTTTAGTTATACATAATAAATAAATATTTTAAATTAAAGATATGTAGGATAATTTTGATTTAAAATTCAACTTGACTTGACTTATTAGGAATACTAATGATATATACGTATATTTATATACTCTATTATTTAACAAAATAATCATTATGACTATTAGACAGGTGTTCAAGTGGTATTTTTTTTTAAGTTTATATAGTAAACCTTTGTATAATTTAATTTAAACTTTATAATTTATATAATAATGAACTCTCAATAATACTAAAAGTAAATAACTCAATGGATTCAGGGTTATAATAATATATTTATTAATGATAAAAAATAAGAAATAAAGAAAAAAAATAAGAAAATAAAAGAAAATAAAAGAAACTAAAAGAATTAAAAGTATTAAATGTAAGCATTAGGCCAAATATCTTTAAAAGTACTATTAAAAGTATATTTAAAGATAAAAACTAAAAAAAACTAAAAGTAAACTGAAGTTTACTTGATTTTATCATTCTTTATTTATATTAATTTTAATATATAAATAAATATAATAAATAAGTCAAATATGTCTAATATATCCTATTTATCCAATATATTAGTTATGTTTGATTTATCAAATATATCTTATATATCAAATATGTTTGATATATTTAACATTTATATCTGCAATTTTCTGTATCACATTCATCAATCCAATTCAGTTACTATAATGAATTTTCTGAATTCATAATGTAGTAAATTTTTTAAATTCATTAATTATATCTGTAAATATATTTGAAACAATTGTAGTAGATTAAGTAGCTAAAGTGTATTATGTTAATTTTCATAATCATTATTATTTTGCTTATCTTTAAGCATTTCTTATCTGCAAGAAAAATATTTACTAATATGCTATTAGAGTTATATAATAACTATTTAAAAGTAACATTAACAGATTCTTATTTTGTGATGTTATTTATATATCTAATGTAAAAATATTAGTACTAAATGCATATACTTAAGAAGTTTTAAATGGATAAAGTGTTCTTTTAAGATAACTTATAGCAGCTAGATAATTAATAAACAAATTTGTCTAAAGTTATTCAAATACTTCTAGTTCTAAACTATTTTGATATTCATAAAATTTATTACTAAATTGGTCAAATAATTCACCAAGTTTTGACCTAAAATATAATGGTAAATTTTGATTAATGTGCTAAATACAATATACTGCAAATGTAAAAGAATATTTCAATTGAATTGCAGTATCTATATCAGGATCTGTATTTGTTACAAATACTCTTAGTATTGATCATCCTAATAATAAAAATTTATAGTTTTAATTTGTATTCAATTACAGTTCATGTTAAAATCTTCATACAAAACTTTACCTGGTTGAAGAAGAAAATATTGAACGAGAGGAGTATTTTTTCTCCTCATCCCATCGTATTATGCTAATAGTATTTTTTAAATCAGAACCATGGTAAGATCATATATATGGGCATGAACCATGCGAGTGGACTGGACCTAAGTTTTCTAGCTCATCAGAATTGAAAAGCCCGAGTTAATTTTCTCTGCAACAACTTCTATCATTACATGTCATATATTTTCCCATCAATGTCACTATTAACTAAACCTATGTGATAACTTGTCATTAAATTAGAAATAAATGTTAAAAACAGTGGACGAGATAAAAAGATATACCTTGTTATATAAAGATGAGCATTAAGCACTTATCGTACTCCGTCTCATCTTCATCAGTTGGTACGCAATGGTGACTTGCGTTTTTCTTATCATCTAGCTTCAGCTTTCATTTGCAAACAGTATGGTGAGCTTTCGGAAGCTTTAAACACGTACTTCAGTGAGTGAAAATGCAACCGTTTTAATTTAACAAAGGGAGGTGGGTTTAGAAACTTTTATTACTATAATTTGAAAATCCCGTATTTCCTTTCATACGATAGTATGTATGTGTGATAATTCCTTTTGATTTCTTCATACAAGGGCGGATCGCATCGATCAAGTAAATAATGCTTCGATGCTGAAATAAGTTGTATGAAAAATTGTGTCAGAAATATCGTTTCATGATTCCATTTTGTCCAGTAGTTCCTTTTTTCATTTTCGATGGATATTGCCGTTTTGGTAGTCTCAACGCCTAGGATATCACTCTACTCTACAGTCACGAAGTCGTTACCTCCATTCTCTTCATTGAGGTTTCTGTTTTATCTTTCTTAATAAACAACTTCCGATATAAGTCCTTGTCCATATCGTCTTTTAAACTCTGACTTTATTTGAAATATAATTTTAATGTTCCCATTTCCAAATGTTCGATCTAATCTACAAATAATTAGCCAATCATCTATCATATATAATATGCAATCAATTCAATAATTATTCGTCTCGTCTAAAGCCAGTTCTACCAAACCTACTTATTCAACAATTCAACTACAACTGTTCGAAAGATTCGTCACTTTCCGCCTCTTACGGGACAGAGGTAACAGTAGACGATGGAATTCCTGAAGTTTTTTTCCCAGCAAGCTTTTTCAACCTATAACTTAATATTTCTAGCTTTCTTTCGAGAATTTCTTTAAAGCTGGTATTGTGTTTAAAGAACACCTTGCTAAGATCGTGGTCAAGGTATATCTAGTATTGCCTTAGTATAATAATTTCCTAAGGAAGACAACAGGACTTGATCCTGAAGCTTATATAACAGTAAGTCTTTGTTTGTTTCTTGAAATTTATACCTTTCATTTATTTAATTTATTTACTACTTACGTTATAGTAAACTACTAAAGGGACCGGTGATGTTTTCTTTATATTTCAAAAGATTCCTACATCATCAACATCTAATGGGTCCATGTTGCAGTACTATGTTGGGCAGAAGATTTTATCGATTTAGCTGATTTGACATCCTAATGGTGGAATCAGATTCGTTGTACGTGAGTATGATTATGATAATTAATTTTATAGTTAGTTATAAACCAATCAACTTAACAATTTATTTTGTTATTTCAGAGAGGTCAAGTTGGCAAGAGAAACACCTATTTTTCAAAGTCTTAATCCATCATCCAGAGAAGCGAGTGGGTGTACAATATTTCTGTCACATCGTCGGTAAATCTATCTTTTTTATTGATATATTTTCTTTATCATTAAAGCATTTACGAATCTTTGTACTTTAGGTGTTCAAGTGGAGGATTATTCAATTCGAGCTTATCTGCTAATTCGATCTATCAGATAGAAAAGCTTGCGGAAAAAATTTATTTCCTTGTATAGACGACGTTTCACAAGCACTCAAAGATTCTCTTGATGGCGATGAATAATCTTTTTTTTTTTAAAAAAAAAAAAAAAAAAATTTTGTTCTTGTAATCGGGTTTTTGTTAAATCAGTAATTGGAATTTCAAAGGATATATTTATTTCTCCAAATGGAATTTATTTGTTTTTGTAATTGAGCTATTAATAATACTTGCATTATAGTCAATTTTAATTATAGATAATGGAACATTCCTGAAATAATTGGTTCTTATTCATTACCAACGTTTCAGAACATTATTTCAAAATATTACGATTCAAAATTTTGGTTAGACCGATTTGGTAATAGAATAAAATATTAACGTAGGAATGACGACTCGTTACTTATTATAAGATCAATGTTACACCTATAGATCCCTTATAAAAAAATATATTTTTTTTAATCAGCCAAGTCAAAAGCAGGAACCAATATATTTTATTGCAGATTTGTAAATCCATAAAATTCAATTATTTGGAATTATTGGGTTAAAGACGTGAACTGATCGACTCTATTCAATCAAATAATCCGCATTTAATGATGTTTGATCGGTCAAATTTCACAATACGACGTTGAAAGAAAAATTAAAAATAAAAATAAAAATAAAAATAAATAACAATCTTTTTATATTAGATGCGGTTTAGGAAAGTGCATCATATAAAGAATCAGTTTATTTAGTTTATTTGTCATTGGGTACATCTAGTGCGTTTTTGAGGGGCTAATTTCAACCTGCAAAATTATCCCCTTTTAATTTTAATATTGTCAATGTTTTTTTTTTTTTATTTTTTTTCCTAAAGGTTCCTTCCTATAGGAAATTTCCAATTCTAAGGATACGTTAAAAGTAATCCTTTGATTTTGTGATCATATTTATTACACGTGTTATTGCTGCAGAAATTCATTTGAAAAGCAGCGGGGAATTGGTCTAAATGTTGTTTAATTGCCGTGCCAGTTTGTTTCAACAGGTAATTTACACCATCCGATTCTATTCCACAATGAGTCGCAACAGTTTTAATATTTGACATGATCCTATCGTAAAAATCGCCATTAGAACAATGGGATTGAACATTGCTAACAATGGCTTTAATGCTTCTACTTCGATTATCCTCAAAAAAATGACAAACGGAAGGAGGGTTACCACAAATGTAATCCATTTTTTTGCAATCGTCAAAGGTCCAAGCAATACCAGGTGGAGGTTGTGTCACCCTCTTT